GCCACCCTGTGACGACCCCTCGGTCCCAGCCTTCAGTCCAGAGTCAAAGGTGCACTTTGTGGATGATGCCCTGGGGAGCAAGCGGGAGAGGGGGGAGGAGGGAGGTGACAGAGACAGTCACAAAGTACCCCAGAGCCTAGGGGAAGGTGTGCTGCTCTGGGAGCCAAGAGGCCTTGAGTCCAAGTAATATTCTCTAATAAATTTGTTAGTCTCTAAGGTGCCACAAGTACTCCTGTTCTTCTTTTTAAGTAATATTCTGGTGCCCTTCGTAGCTCAGCACAGAAGAGTTTTGCACGACAGCTGCTTGGTGTCCCTATTTTGTCCCCATAAAGCTGAGAGCAGCTGAACATCCTGTTTGGTCTCCCCTGGCTGCATGTCCAGCAGCAGCCAGAGTCTTCTGGGGTTCAGGCCCCTTCTCGAGGCGTGATGGTGCTGGGGCTTCTGCTCCACATTGCTCTGTTGTAGGCTAGCTGCCTGGATCAAGTGACCTGAGGGTCCTCTGTGCTAGGTACAGGGGCATGAACAGGGGCTCTGCCCAGTTCACGTCCACCCCACCTTCTGCATCTCTGGCAACAGCTGGTCTCCTTCTTCCCTCCTAGAGAAAAATGTATACGCTGCTGGCCTCTCCGATTGCAGGAAGTGGATGGGACTCGGACCTGTATCTGCAAATCTCTCACAGTCATACATGTGCAGAGGCCAACAGGCTTTTGCAAAAGCATGTAGTTGTATGTCTTTCTACCCTGTGTGCAGCAGCAGAGCGAGGCTGGCCAGCTGCCCTGAGTCTGGAGTCGTCTGTCTTGATGGACTTTTGGGCCTTTAATCTTGATGTTCTCCCGTAAAGCAGTTCATTTGGATTCTTAAATCTGCCTTTGCAATCTATAGGGCGAGAGCACGACTGGACTCATATAAAGCCCCAGAACTGAATACACCCCGCTTTGGGAAACGTTGTGTCCAGTACTGAATTTGGCTCTTTGTTACATATTACGTAGCATGCATTGTGCATGGACGGTAACTGCCTGTGTTATCAACTTGGCCACGTTTTACTACAGTAGTTAGTTACAAATTCGGGCCGTCACCTTGCCGACGCAAGCGCTTAACTTTACCCGGGTGAGTAGTCCCATTGACTTGTGAGGCTACTCGTGTGTAAAGTGAAGCACGTGTGTAAATGTAACCTACTGGTGAGTGTGTGTTACAGGTCCCAGCTACCGAGCCGTAGCTCTTCAGCTCAGACTGTCGCAGCTCATGCTTCTAGCTCTGGAGGTCTCTGACATAATCCTCAGTGTGTCCAGACACGGGGAAGACTCTCACCTAACTGTTTGCAGGATCAGGGCCGTCGAGCCCTCTGCTTCTTGCAGTCCTTTGAAACCAGGGGGAATTTTGCCTGACTAAGGAATGCTTGGATCTGCCATTTGAGAGTAGCTGACATGACCTGACTAAATGACATAGAGGGTGTGATGCAGAGTGGCAGAAGTCTCCATAAACAAGGCTGATGCTTCACCCTTAACTTGTCATGGTGCTCCTTGCAGGTAGGAAATTATGCACGACTTCTGTACACATTGGTTGCTATAAGCAGCCGTGTGAGGCCTGCTGGTAAAACATGCTGAACTGACGATAATCTGTTCCTCTTTAACGTATACCTTTCTGCTTTCTTTTCAGGGAGCTCATTATGAAACTAAAATCTCACAGCAGTTTTTATAGCAGCTTGCCGGAGTACATCTGCAGCCACGGCTCTGCTGTTCAGAATGACACCCTTTGCTGGAATGGACAAGAAATTGTGGAGAGGTGAACAATTGTTTTTTTTCTTCTCAGTGCTCCTCATAAGCTGTTAAATGTGCATGTCAGTGTTTGTCGGGCTGGGGCCTACTGAATTCATCAATGTCTGAGGTTTCACAAATAGCTTCACTGACAATCTTCCTTATTTATACAAAACTTAAAAACGATCAGACCAGAAGCTGAGTCTGCTGCGTGATGTGTAGCAGAGCGATGGAGCAGAGAGGGGCCCAAAACTACCTCTGGGGAGGAGCAGAAGTTACTCTTCATGCTTTATTGAGCTGTGGAAGCCACTCTGTGTGTAACACATGCTGCTGTGACCCTGTGGAGAACAGGATGGGTGGGTGTTGACCAGTCAGGAACAAAGATGAGGAACACTCCCTTTGGAAAGGGCTTAATTCCGTGACAATTTAGGTATCAATGAGGTTGTAGTTACCCTTTTACCTTTGGTGTGGTTTCACGCAGATGGTTATCTGAGCTACTGAGTTTTGGTATCAAGTATCAGAGGGGTAGCCGTGTTAGTCTGGATCTGTAAAAAGCGACAAAGAGTCCTGTGGCACCTGATTAACAGACCTATTGGAGCATAAGCTTTCGTGGGTGAATACCCACTTCGTCAGACGCATGTGGTAGAAATTTCCAGGGGCAGGTATAAATGTCCAGGCAAGAATCAGTCTAGAGATAATGAGGTTAGTTCAATCAGGGAGGATGAGGCCTCTTCTAGCAGTTGAGGTGTGAACACCAAGGGAGGAGAAACTGCTTTTGTAGTTGGCTAGCCATTCACAGTCTTTGTTGGTAATACATCTTCTGGGTTTGTGCTGACTTTCTTTCAACTTGAACATCTGACCTTCATTCTAGAATGAACCATTAACATTAGGAAATAGACAAATACTAAGTAGGTTCCCTGTGGACATGGTAATATCTGAAAAACACTTAATTCTGTCCTCAGATGCACTTCAGTGTGGACTGCGTACATTCATGTGTGTGTGGAATTCGGTCTTAAGCGTTGGGCCAAATTCATCCTTGGTGTCACTCTGGGATGTCAGCAGAGTATCAACCACGGTGGTTCTTCCCCATTCTGTTTTCTCCTGCTTTCATATGTAATATATTAAGTATATTCATTGCTTCCCTGGGTGTTGTGACAATTATCTGTGAGACTGATGGTGAATGATAAATGCAGGGTTAATATTACAAAGGAAAACGCTGTGTTAATGAAAAAACTTCTTTTTTTCTTTTGCAAAACATTGGTCCCGAGAAATGTTCAAGAATGTATGAACTCAGCATAGTAATGCTTATTATAATTACACGTACTATCACCAGACTGCTCTTCTAATAACCCTACTTTGCAAAATGTCCTTTACTATTAAAGTCGTTTACATAAGGAAAATAATAGAAATAATATCCAGATGTGGCAAAAATAATGTAGAGAGTAAAGTATGGCTTCTTCTTGGTTGGTAACCTAAGGAAATAATTAACTTATACTTGCAGTACTGACCCGAAACACTGAAGGGACCAGAAAATGACATCAAACTATTTTTTAAAAGATTATTCAAGCATAGCCGATTATGCATTTAATAATATGAAGTTACTTTGCCTCAGGAAAAACGTGCCCTCTCTCTGTACCTTCTTTTGGAAAAACTTTTGTCTCCATGCCTAATGAAAAGAACAATTCAAAGAGGATTTGAAAAAAATATTTCTCTGCTTCTTAATTAAAAAGCACATGAAATCATGCTATTAAACACTGAAGCCTGGAGAATGTGAAATGTTTAAGTACAATGAGGTCTTTGCAGATCAAGATTGAAATTCTACGATCTTGGTTCTACTGTCCTAACTCAGACCACACAGAGTCCCAGTGAAGCCAGTGGTGGAGGACTGTGCTGTCAGTGTGGGTCCTGGTTTCAGACTCAGATGATGACCCATGTGGGCAGGATCAATATGGCTCCGTACGATGGAATTTCTTTTTCAGCTTAAAATACCCAGACATGTACATTTAAAAAAAAAAACCCCCAATGTTAAAAGGTCACCCAAGTTGCAGAGTCACTCACTTAGAAATTAGGAAATACCTGAACGAAGGTTGCCTATGCAATCCTAATTTGGCCTCCTTGTGCGTATGCATCATGATGCAGTCTTCAAGTACAGGCTCACATAGTATTTGTTCTACAAGACACCTGCCTTAGTCAGGGCACAGGATGGACAATGAATGAACGGAGGGTTGCAAGAAGAAAAGGGATGCATTTTGTGGGTAAGGCGACAGCCCACCAAGAGAAGAGCTGGGTTCTAGTCCTGACTATTCCAGGCTCTGCCACAGATTTGTGATGTGATGTTGGGTACAGCTGTATCATATGGGTAAGGACAAAGGGGCCAAATTAAGGGTGAAAAGGCAACCTTAATTCTGACATTTACTTGAATGCTTAACTTTGGAACCTTTATGAAAATTCTATTATGGCAGTACCTAGGAACCCCAATCAAGGATCAGGGCTCCATTGTGTTAGGTGTTATATAGACAAAAAACAAAAAAGCCCATCTGTGCCCCAGAGAGCTTACAGTTTTGGTGTAGGACATGACGGGTGGCTGAAAAAGACAGACAGGGTGGGGAGGGGAGTTGGGAGGATGGAGATAACAATAACGTGAACAGAGTTTAGCAGAAAACCAGAAATTTCTCTTCCCACTTGCCTGGCCACTGAATTAATAATGAAATGAACAACTTTGCAGTGCCATGAGGAAAGCTATCTCCAGCACTGTTCTTCCTCAAGTGAACACGCTGCTATCTGTTGTCTTCTCCCTCCCACTCTATCTTGTCAAACACACATCACCTCCTCTGCCAGCTTATCTGAAATATTAACAACAACCCTCTTCAGAGCCCAAGTTTAAATTTTTCACTCTGAGCTATGTGACAGCGATGGCAGACGAGTGCGAAAAATCGGATCCCCTTGCAGAGATGTTAGTGGTGTCCTCTGGAGGACAGACCAACTGCTCTGTGTAGCAAAGCACTTGCTAACTAGTCATGAATTGGTGTGGATGGCGGCTTGCATAGGGGCTGCTTTGCATCTGTCCTGCTGGAGAGGCAGTACTGAGATGCAGAAAACCTCAGAAAGGACCATGGTTTCATGGAACTCACATAGACGATCAGAAAATAGGTCAACAACGTTGTGTCTTAGATTTATTTACCTTCTTCCCGCCTCATGTTTTAAGCATATACAACCCTAACATGTCCTGGAATGACTGTCTGACTTCTCCGTGGGTTGGGAGTGTGAGCAGTACACAAAGGTGTTTCCCTTACTGGAATTAGAAATAGAAACTAATCTGAATAAAGTCAAACTGATAAAAATAAATGACTCTTCTCTCCTCATTCCCATTTACAGAATGAGTTTTAAATTGAAATAAGAATGATCTCATTGGTTAATTACTGTATCTGAGGTGTTCAAGGGTGACTAGTGATTTTTTTTTTTTTTGCTGCCTCAATTTTGGGAGTACCCAAATTGGGATCCCTTAAAGGGGCCTGTTTTCAGAACACGAGTGCTCAGCCTGTCTGAAAATGAGGCCCCTTCAAGGTGTGTCTAGTTGGGCTAGTCACTAGTCACTTTAAACAATCTTGGACTTTATTTTCCCCAAGCGGGATGAAACCTAAAAAACATCAGTTGTACGCTCTAATTCTTCCGGCATAACTTCACCTGTCCATGTGCTAGGCTGATGCTCGCCTGTGATTTCCCCTAGACCTGGCTTTCAGCTTTTTACAAGAAATACTGTGTTTCATGAACCTTGGAGTCAGCTTCCGGATAGTAGTCATTTATCAGCTGGTAGCCATCCTATGCAGCTAACTACTGGGAGAGCTGAGAAAAGAAAGTCCTGACCTAGGGTGTCCATGTACTTAGAATGCAAAAATTCTGTCACCTCATTTTTATATTTCTCTCTGTTTTCCGGGCTTTTTGATGCTGCAACCCAGATGCAATGCTTGCCTGCTCACATACTCATGAGTGAAGTGTACAGCAGGCTGGACAAGAATAGACTTTCCTTCTTCCTTGTAGTTAACCTGCTCCATGTACCAGAGTTGGACTGGAGCCAGCAGAGACACATTCATAACTGCTACATTGCTAAGAGAGTCCTGATACTATGGAGAAAATTGTCTAGGTTCAGGTTTTCAGATTACTTAAGCCTTATCCACATTAGGGACGATTCATTACAAGTGTCCTACCCTTGCTAACCAGGGGTCGGCACCACCATGTTGCATGACGGACACTTGACAGAATTACCATACTTAGTGACGGACATTGTCGGGGGGTTATGTCATTCAGTCATTCAATTTTTTGAAAAAATTACCATGGACCTCAAAATCTTTACCATGGACACGGTGCTGACCCCTGTTGCTAACACTGGTGCCTCTGTCTGGACCCGTTTTAAATTCCATGTCAGTTAAAGCTGCTCAAAGCTGTTCTAATCAATGTGGTATTTAAAAAGGTGGCCGTTCAAAGTCGCCAAGGGGATTGAGCTATTACACGGCGTGCTGGGGAGCTGTGGGCAGGTGATTCAGTTCCTGCGGTGTGATAGCAGCACAGTTACGTGATACGTTTCTTTATCACATCCATGTATTTGGTATGTGTGAGCACATTTGTCTGTGGTTATAGATAACTTCTGTAGGATTGGAGGCTGCTGTAGTAGTCACGTCTCTAATAGGGTATCTTAGCAGAAGGGGCCTCTAGGCGTTTGTCCAGTGTAACCCTCTGCATTGTGGCAGGATTTATTGATTATCCTTAACCCATTTGAACGTGGGAGTATCTAGTCCAGCAATGAACAGCAAGTCCACACCCTCCCTTGTGAGCTTGGTCAAGTGCCTCGGTCCTGAGTATAACATTTATCCTACAATCTAACCTAAACTGGCCCTTCGGCTCCTTAAACCTCTTCACTTCTTGTCCTCTTGGTTAGTACTGGCTCTGTCCTATTTATAATATTGCTTTATGTATTTGCAGACCACTGTCATGTCCCTCCTTTTCACAGGCTAGATATGCCCGGTGCGTTTA